AACAAGTGTAGTTAAAAATTTGTGTCTTTTATATGCCATTTGCAACAAAAGAAGAGATTTCAGCATGGGTTTTGAAAATGCCTACAAGCTACTTTCTAAAACTGCACCAATACTTGGAATAAACTTTTTTTTTCCCCTACACAATGTATCCAGCTCCTACAAAGGAAAAAGGACTACAGCTACTATAAAAAATTGGAGTGATCTCCTGTTATGTGATAAAGGCCAGTTTTACATCCCTAACCAAGTTATAGGGTATAACCCACAGCAATAAAGGAGCTGTCATTTCAGTCATAGCACACGTCCTTGGCACACAGAATAACTTCTCCTGAGAAAATAAATACTTCACTACTAGAATGTCCAAGGAACCACTCTGGGACTGATTTAGAAACACAAATAATTACCCACTGGTAGGAAGCTGTTTTCTCACTAACTTTGGGGTTAACTACATGGTAGTTTACACACCAGGATACTCCGTAAATCTCAATGTCATTTGTTCTTAGCTAAGAATTCATTCACTGTTTTCTAAATTAACACTCAAAAATTCCACCTGCCACCGTGGGCGCAACTTTTATTTTCTTAAACTACAGAAGTTCCTGACATTGAGTTTAGCTGACACAGCACTTCCTGGGGGCTAACTAAAAAATGCTCTTCCATAGTCAGTCTGTACATGGGCAACCTCACAGTACTTGTATCTATTATTCAACATTAAATAAGTTGTAAACATTACTGAATAATGGCTTATTAATTATGCAAGAGAAACCAGTAAACCTAGTAAAAAAGCCTTACAGAAAAAAACCCTTTTCTTTGTATTTTCCGAAATCTTCAGAAGCCCAGAGGTGAGTCAGATCTTTATGAGCTATTTAGTCAACAGAGCTATATTGAATCAACCACAAATATTCATGTTTCAAGGCCTCTATTAAATCTCATAGCATGAGGCTCAAGTTATTAATTTCCCCTCCTCCTCACTGACAGCAGTGGGAACAGAATTTCTGTGTGTAGACTAATCTGTCATTCAGCTGTCATGGTATAGTTATAGCAGGAACATCCTCCTTTCTTGATACAACTTTTCTTCTTAAAAAGAACACCCTCCACGAGTGATAATGATTTTGATAGTATTACAAGTGATTTAAGTCATCCTTACTATAGCTTCTGTAGTCACTTTTTGAAGAGGCTGTAATCTGACATTCCTTTAAAAAGCCCCATAAAAAACTGCTTTTCTCCTAAGTCAAAGTTCTTTGGCAAGAAACTGAATTCAGTGAGTAGCTCCCCAAAATAAGACTCCTACTTCCAATCACAGGCAGCGATATTAAAGCAACCATTTCATAAACACTCAAGTTCTACATTAGAATCACGGTTAAACATAGGAGCCTTCTATTTGAAAACTGTGGTTATGTGTATGTGTATACACACCGTATCTCCTGACTACTGTAAAGAGGCATCCCTATATGCTAAGTTTCCAGGAACAGTTCAGTTCTCTGAGGAAAGGCAGTGCCAGCAGCTGCCTGCTTCATTTGACTCTGTCCCGCATAGTTCTTAGCATTAGATGGCTTTGCTGTATCAGAAAGGAGTTCAAGGAAGGGTTTCAAGTACACAAACTCCATGGAAGGACAGCTATGGACTTATTTTCTTCCTAAAGACTTAATTGAATTCCCTTTCCAAATCCATCTTCAACAGTGTCAAAAACAAAAATCAAAAACCAAAATGAGACTGAGAAGATTGTTATTTCTGTCAGCTTCAATTTCCTCATCTTCATAGATTATGCTGTCTCTGCTCTTCTGAAGCCCTCTTTGGGCAACCTCATACTGTAGCTCTCTAGTTGTCCCACCCATTTCTTTACAAAGATCATCCAACCCAACAATATAGAAAGGCCACCAGTGCTTGTCTTGGCCCCCTGGTCCTTTACTCATGCTGTTCTCTGAGACCAGGGCAGAGCATTGCTTCAGGCAGCCTGTTTCTTTCTCACTGGATGATTTTCATCACCATCCTCTTGCTTGTATGTCTTTCTAAAGTAGAGTAAAGCCTGCCCACAGGCCTGTGTCCTGTCAGGGCTGTGAGCCTTGTGATTTGAGATGGTACCCAGGGGAGTGTGGAAGCTGCTTACATATCTTGGGCTGTACACGGTCCCAGGTTTGAGAGTTACGTTGACCTTGAATGTTGGGAGGGACCCTTCTCAGAACTCAGTGAAGACCCTCTTGCCTCTCTTTTTTTTTTTTGCGGTACGCGGGCCTCTTCCTGTTGTGGCCTCTCCTGTTGCGGAGCACAGGCTCCAGACACGCAGGCTCAGCGGCCGTGGCTCACGGGCCTAGCCGCTCTGCGGCATGTGGGATCTTCCCCAACCGGAGCACGAACGTGTGTCCCCTGCATCGGCAGGTGGTCTCTCAACCACTGCGCCACCAGGGAAGTCCCCTCTTGCCTCTCTTTGATAACATATTAACAAGTTCACAAAGGAAAACCTCCTGTATCACAGAGGCAAGGCTTTGTGGGTGACAAGAAACCTGGAGATAGAAACTAACTTGTTAGGCTCTCCTTACCACTGAACACTGAGTGCTGAAGAAGGGATGCCCACTTCTGTAGCCATAGCAGCACTCACCACAGTGCATAGAGAAGATGCCCCAGTACATAACTGAAAGCAGAAAGCAGCCGGGCAAAGTGTAGTGAACTCTATCCTCTACCCCACAGCCATTTCTATCACTTTGCACTAGCCACTGCCACTCAGGTCATCTGCTGCTGTAACCACTCAGCAGGACATACAATGTCACTCCTTGGCACCCCAACTGTTAACAGTGGTCAACCGCCTACTGGAATGGCTTCCCTCTCTTCTCCCAACACCACTGCCACCACAGCACATGCTCGACTGTGTCACTGGTGAAACAGCAGGTAGGAATGAGCAGCAATTGACTAGGGGAATGAGGAACCACAGCTGGAGTGGATAAAAAACAGCTATTTTATTCAACTTGAAAATAACTCTAAAGTAAGCAGGATAAACATTGTTATTTCTGGTTTACAGACAAGGAAAATGAAGCTCAGAGAGGTTTTGGTGATTTACTCCAGGTAATGCTCTACGAAGTGGTAGAGGTAATCTAGAACCTGTATCTTTAGATTTGTAACTTGATGCTTGTCCACTATAACTGTTCTACAACCTGTGGTTTATGCAGCAGGTATATTTATTTTCTAATATCAATTTATATTCAATAATTTTCTCACTTGAAAAAAAACTCTGATTTCTTAGAAATGTAGGTTACTTCTGAAATGGTTTTATTTTCTTAATTTTTAAAAAGAATTTAATTATATTTATAGAAAAGTAATCTTAAATTGGATAATTATTTATTATTACTCAAATTGATGTTCATGTCTCTCAGGATTTTCAAGTTTTCTTAAAGAGGTTTTTAATTGAAAATAATATGTACACTGTATTATGGTAGAAAATATTTCCTTTTAGGGGCTAGTAAATTATTCACTTTATTGACCTCAGAGATAAATTACTCATAAAAAAATTCTTTTATGAATAAGATTATATGATGCTTATTCTAACAGTTTAGGGTTCTGTGGGCCTTCAAATTTTAATTTTTTTCAATGGCAGTTTTGTTTCTTATAAGTTAACAAAATAATTCAATTCTCAGTAAAAATAAATATATTGTTTATTAAAGGCCTATGTTCTTTAACATATATCAAAATGGGCCAGCTACAGAGATCTATAGTGCAAAGTATGTTATTTATTAGCCAGGGTGACATTTCTAGCTCATCAGGCAGTTCAAAAGTCTTTAAAATTTTCTAGTCTGGTTATCTGGCAATACTAATCATTAGGATACCCAATAAACATTTTTCTACCTAGAAGTCAACATGTAAGCAGATATATTTGTACAGTAGCTATTTTTTCATATTGCTCAATACCTCTTGTCAATTTTATAATTTTATATATACAAAATATACATATATAATACATATACATATATTTTAATTCCTTTCTCTGAGTAAATCATCTCATATATTTTGTCTCTAAACAAACTTTTAGCACAAGTTTTTTAAAATATGAAATCCCTAACAGAAATAAACTTTTTAAGCTGGGAATGATGCTTTGTTCACTGCAAAAATGGATTTAGAGAAGCATCTTCAAGATAAGCAGAATGATGGAAACTAACTAATCCTTCCTAGTTAAGGAAACAAAGACTTTCCATCTTGTTCTTTAGCTGTTTTGCTTTACCACATAAACATGATTACTTACCAAGCGGCAAAAATGCAAGACGGTTTCCAGCCATGGAGAGCTCATTGAGGCTGGGCAGCTGGCAGAGATGGCGCGGCACACACCACAGACGATTTCGGTCCACAGTGAGGTACTGCAGAGAAAGGCACAGGTGAAGCCTCTCGGGTAAAGTTAGCAAACGATTGGTAGAAATGTCTAGTGTCTGCAGCTCCTTCAAATCGCCAACCTCTACAACCAAAATCAAGATAAATTGCATCCTGATTAAATGAATTAATTAAATAAAATGAATCAACACTGTAACAGTTCAACCAAATAAAATTAGTAGCTGCAAATATTTCCATAGACATTAATACTGAAGTGCAGGATTTAGGTCCAGTATGCAAATAATCCAACTTAAGTAGGTGTCTTTAAATTAGTCTGCCAGAATTTTTTTTTTTTTTTTTTTTGCGGTCCGGGGGCCTCCCCCTGCTGTGGCCTCTCCCGTTGCGGAGCACAGGCTCCAGACGCGCAGGCTCAGCGGCCATGGCTCACGGGCCCAGCCGCTCCGCGGCACGTGGGATCTTCCCGGACCGGGGCACGAACCCGTGTCCCCTGCATCGGCAGGCGGACTCTCAACCACTGCGCCACCAGGGAAGCCCCAGAATTTTTTTAAAAAGGAAAAAGTGCTGGCATTGGAGAAAGGAGAAACACAAAGTGATGAATCTGAGCCAAAAGTCTGTTACTATGGCTTCTGCTTCCCGATGAATCAAAAGTTGTTGCAAATGTGAAAGAAGAACAATTACAGTCACTTCATGGTACCTGGTTCTTGCTACTTTTGTGGTTTTTACCTTCTATCTAAGTAGAGAGTAGGAGACTTAAAAACATAAATTATAGTATCCCAGTAAGTGCACCTTGTTCATGTGAACTAAGTAGAAAATTCCTGGACTAAGAATGAGGATGGCTTTTGAAATTTTCACCACAGTTAAGATCATAATAATAAAATTATTGTAAGGTAATATTTTTAGATATTGTCTAGCCATGTGGTTCCTCTTTTAAAACCCAAAACCCTATGAAGATTTACTTTAATCCCACCTGAATGAAATCCTTCCATTTACTCCAATATTCCTTCATTATTGGTGTCTATATTTGTAATCTATTCCATGGTGAGACAGTTATGTCCGTGGCATACACCAAATCACCACTTCTGAAAGAGGGGGGAAGTTCTTTATAAGGTATTCTGTCCTTCTCAGGGAAAACCACCAGGAAGCACTCAGAGCAGAGGAGGTTCTGCTAACCAGTCTCTAGGGGAAGGACATTACTCTGTCCAGGACAGCACACTGCACTCGAGGCTCTACAGGGAGCACTGTGCAGGAAAAGTCTGCTTCTCTCGTATCACAGAACTTCCGTATTGAAGACCACTGTAATGCCACCTCTCACTTCTCCAACCTGACCCTGTTCAACAAGCTGTTCCTCTCAGGTTAAGGTTTCTCATGATCCTCCCAACTTGAATGCACCCCACTGGGCACATTCCAGTTTGTTCAGGACTTGGATTAGTATGAGCAATGTCTTCTCTATTGGAGAGAAAATCTTCTGCCTCTTGGATGTCCAGTTATACAGATTAGCTTTTCTTATTGGCAAACAGCTTGGCAAACTATGGCTCACAGGCAAAATGTGGCCCATGGCCCACTTCTGTACTGCACGCAAGCTAAGACTGGTTATTTTTAAGTGTGGTAAAACCCAACAACAACGATAAGAAAAAAAAAATATATATATATATACACACACACACATATGACAGAGACCATATGTGGCCTGCAAAGCCTAAAAACATTTAGTATCTCACCATTTACAAAAAAAAGTTTGCTGGTCTTTGTTATACACTTACTCTTAACAGGATCGTTTTTAATAACTATTATTTTATAAAAGTAATACAAGTGCAAAAATACATTAATTTCTAGTTATTTTACTAATATATAGAAGGGATTTGTGCTAGGAGGTTCACACTTTATTTTCTTATTTCCCCAATACTACACAAATACATATTTGAAGACAGGAGATAGGATTCAATGAACAGTCTGTGACTCCCAATGGGAGTTTTGTTCTGTTTTCACCTAACTGATGCACATAGGGGTCAATTTCACTCTTGGCTCCATTAGCACAGTATTTCCTCCAGCTAAGTCTTTCTGCCTATTTTAGATTGCTTCTGATGGGGTGTGTGGTGGGGAGGGAGTTGACAGAAGAACATGTTTTAGAACTGAATAAAAAGAAAAAGAAACAAGAAATCTTCCTGACCTCACTTTATAAAGTTATTAGGGGAGTGAAATGGGACAGAAATGCAACAAATCAGCTTACACACCACAGAGCCAGGTGCTGAGAGAAGAATGAGACAAGGTTTCTGCCACTGATAATCACATTACATATAAAAGACATTGCGTGATAGGAACTCAGGAAAAGAAGAGTTAGATGACAGGTTGGAGAAGCTTTTGTAAAATTTATTGAAGGAAATGAGAACTCGAATAGGTCAAAAAGAAAATGGATATAGTGTTTCAAGCGAGGCATGGGGATGGGGTTGAAAGCATGAGGAAAGGCATGCAAGTGAAAAAATAAATACAACATGCACAATGGACTATTTGAGACCCGACAAGTACCAAAGATACAATGGGAAAAAAAGCAGAAAAGAAGTTCAATACAGAGGGCTTGGTGGAGACATTGATGATAATGAATACTGGGTAGAGAAGTTTGGACTTATCACAGTGAGAACATAACACTTCCTGAAGATTCTCAAAGGATGAAAGGATTCTTTTGGAAATATGAAAATGGTAAATATGCAGAAAGCAATGAAATGGAAAGAGATTGTAGGCTGGGAAAACAAGTAGACAGTTGATGAGAACGAAGGCAGTGTGACAGAGCTTACAGGTAAATTCCAGAGATATTTTAAGAAAAGCAGAGAGTACGCTTGGTTGGAAATGGAAAATGGTGAAACAGGAAAAAGTCAAAGATAATTTTCAAGTTTCTAGACTATTATACTCTAAGTATGGTGATGCCAATGCTAAAAGCTTAATCTTTCTGTAGAAAAAAAAATTTTAATTATACCAATACTTCTGAATTGCAGTACCTATAAGCCACCTACTTAAAAGAATTTGAAAAATCCACCAAAAATCACATGGGAGTAAAGCAAAATAAACTATTTTTATCATTATTTCAAAAATAATTAACTGTGTAAAACAGTGTTTTGACATGGCTGCAAAAACTACTAAGGCAGGCTTCCCTGGTGGCACAGTGGTTGACAGTGGTTGAGAGTCTGCCTGCCGATGCAGGGGACACGGGTTCGTGCCCGGGTTCGGGAAGATCCCACATGCCGCGGAGCAGCTGGGCCCGTGAGCCATGGCCGCTGAGCCTGCATGTCCGGAGCCTGTGCTCCGCAGCGGGAGAGGCCACAGCAGTGAGAGGCCTGCGTACCGCAAAAAAAAAAAACATAAAAACCAAAAAACTACTAAGGCTTGCAACTGTCCACCATTTTGATTCAGCATTGCCTTATTGTACTGTGAAATGGGGAAACAATATGTGATTATGAATTTAAATTTTCTATAATTTGATTATTTACTTTTAATAGATCAGTATTCACATGCTGCTTTAACAGATACACATACATTTTCAGATATTAAAATTAATAACACTTTTGACAAAGAAAAGAACACATACTGTCAGTATCAAAGGTCAAAATACTAAGGAATGGGAAGAGGAAACTGGAGCTGACATTTCTTATTTCCTATGTGTGATGAATAAGACTTAAACATGAAGGACTGCATATATTAAATGAACAAATGTAACAAAAGGACATTTTTGTCTAAGTAGCTTAATATATAGGCCTTTCCATTTGTTAGAAAAAAACTGAGCTAATTATAATATTACTCCAATTACAATACTGAGTAAAATACTATATATAATATAGTTGGAAAATTAACGATTTTGTCATCCTACGAAAGTATTTGGGAAAGAGAGAGAAATAAAATTAAATAGCTTCTCAGGTGGAGTGAATTAAACATAATTTTCATGACCATTTTAAAACAGGCCTCAAATATAAGACTATACATGGCATCTTTATTCTAACAAAATTAAAAAAATATACTTATTAAGCTCAGCTAATGGGAAGCACATTTTTAGAAAACAACAGAGTCAAACAAACTTTATCTAAGATTCTAACGTAAACACAAGAGACAGGAAATAAACCTGGAGTAGCAATATATCATGCAGGAATAAAGAAACAGAGCCCAAAGTGTGAGCTCAAGTTAAAAACTGGAAAACTATCAGCCAAACATAAATCTAGCAAATTTGGTCTAGTTCAGAACCTACACTGAGGCCAGGACAACAGGATACTCTTATATACTCTGCTGCTCTTCCTTCATTCCTGAAGATCCAAGTACCCTGCTTATATCATTTCCACCGGCCTGAAGAAATTTTCTGTCTTTTGGAGTAGGTATGCTGGCAACAAATTCTCTTAGTTTCCCTGGGAATGTCTTTATATCATTGTAATTCCTAGAAATTGTTTTCATTAGATACATAATTCAGGGTTGACCATTCTTTACTTTCAGTACTTTTAGATGGTGTTCCACTGTCTTCCAGTCACCGTGGTGTCTGAGGAGAAATCCACAATTATTTGAATCATTATTTCTTTAGGCGTTCTCAAGAACTGTTCTTTATCTTTAGTCATTAGCAGACTGATTACGATGTATCTGTAAATGGCTTTCTTTGAACTTATCCTATTTGGAGTCCGCTGACCTTTTTAAATTTGTAAATTTATGTCTTTCACCAAATTTTTGAAGTTTTAGACATTATGTCTTCAAATTTAAGAATTATTATATCTGGGTAAATATAACAAACTATCACTTTTCTCCTTTTAAGTTAAGTTATGCATAACTGCTGAAAGCATTTCAATATATGGTGTACTACTTATAAATGTAACACAAAGGTCACTGGGGTAATGTAAAAGGAGTTCCAAAGCAGATTTTGAAAGATCTGTATAATGTAATCCCTAAAGCAATAACTAAAAATAAGATAAATACTCAAAAAAAGATAAACCCAAAAAGCCAATAAATGAATTAAAACAGAATACAAAACATACATTCAAATAATACCAAAAAAGGCAGGGAAAAGGGAACAAAGAAAGAAAACCAGATGTTACAAAGAGACAACTAATAATAAAATGGCAGGCCTAAATCTAACAAGATCAATAATAACATTAAAAGTAAATAGCCTGAGATGACCAGACTGGACTTAAAAACAAGACCTTAGTATATTCTATCTAAAAGGAATCTATTTAAAATATAAATACATAGATAGATAAAACATAAATTAATACAAACATATG